TCGACAATACTCTCTAAATTATCTCATGGCCTTTCCATGATAAGCAGTAATACTCTGAGAAGTTGCACGTTGTTTGCTATGATTAGACCTAGTCACTAAGAACTGCTGCAATAAATAAGGAAGCTTTACCATTAAGTAGTAGATTCAAAAAACTGAAACCAAATGAATGTCAGAAGAATTATAAAGGTGAAGAAGGTACAAATGCTCGGCTTCAGTTCTAAAACGCTAACAGTAGAGCAAAAATTGCTTAACTTCTCCGAAAAATGAAAGGTGATTACGTACTTGATTATCATACCTGTTACTTGTCCTTTTTAAATTCCACGTCAGAAAAAATTGAAGGGAACACAGTATCCTGTTGTTACTTGCTGAAGCGTTCGTGTTTGGTTCATAAACAGTCGAGTGAGAGGCTAGCCTCCCACGCAGGCGTTTTTAGGGGAGCTCGTATTTCTTCCCTCCCCACAAACGCCTGCTCAACGGAAAACAACATTCCTTTCTCATTATTTTATTTGCGTGGTAAGTGACCAATCAACAATTGTGCAATAAAGTGTTGACAGGCTAAACACGACTGAACGTGACCCTAGAGTTACCGTTTTCCTTCTTTTCTTTCCTTCGCTAAGGTTATGCAGTATACGGAGTATTCTGAATTTTGACTAAATCTTATTTTTGCCGCTCTGAATCTAACATTTATTGCAGGTCAGAAAGCTTTCGCAGTGTTTAATGCAGATCGAGTAATTATCAGATTACCTTGCGGTCAAGGTCAACTTTCCAGAATTTGGAAAGTACAATGTGATTGGCTAAGCCTGGGAAAGGAATGTTGTTTTCCGTTGAGCAGGCGTTTGTGGGGAGGGAAGAAATACGAGCTCCCCTAAAAATGCCTGCGTGGGAGGCTAGTGAGAGGCGCGCACTATACTATCACGAGCACGGTCGAAGGTCACAACGTGAACAGGGCACAATCCTAAGGTCACACATACGCGTAATCATACAGTAAAATTCCGAAAATAAGCCCCGAGGCTTATATTTTACAAAGACCGTTTTTGAGGGGCTTATTTTTGGAGGGGCTTATCTACAAAGGGAAATTTGCGTTTCGAAATCGATTGGGTTAGCCTTATAGTTGGAAGTAAATTTACCTTTTTTTGCTGTGTTTTACTTTGTATTTGAGGGCAATTTTCCAAGTGCAAGCCCCGGGTGGCTTATATTTGGAGAGGCGATTTAACGGAGGGTTTTTTGCGTTACGAGTTTGGGGGGCTTATGTATGGACGTGCTTATTTTCGGAATTTTACGGTATCTCACAAAAGAAACCCGTAAATCTGATCACATTATCATATGCAGCTTTCGCGAGTGGGTGAGCTGAAGTAAATACTGTTTTCTGATTGACTACCTATTTTTCCCGTTGGGAATTTTGCCGCAGTGGTCCCGCAGCCGGGCAACCTATTTATTGACCTTGAGACTCAGTCCGTGAGAAAACAAACAAACAAACAAACAAACACCCTCGCCCAAATTTTGCGCAACCCTTTTTTCCTAAATTTTCATGCGTATTACAGTCGTCGCAAGAAAAATTGAAGACATTGTTTACGCTTACACAATTTTGTTTGGGGGAGGAGAATGGCGGGGACAAACAAGTATTATTAATGATATAAAGGCGCCTTGCGGGGGTGCGCTTCTCGGTACTATTAAAGACGCTTTCACTCCACGTTCGTGTTTGGTTCATAAACAGTCGAGTGAGAGGCGCGCACTATAATATCACGAGCACGGTCGAAGGTCACAACGTGAACAGGGCACAATCCTAAGGTCACACATACGCGTAATCATGCGGTAAAATTCCGAAAATAAGCCCCGAGGCTTATATTTTACAAAGACCGTTTTTTGAGGGGCTTATTTTTGGAGGGGCTTATCTACGAAGGGAAATTTGCGTTTCCAAATCGTTTGGGTTAGCCTTATAGTTGGAAGTAAATTTACCTTTTTTTGCTGTGTTTTACTTTGTATTTGAGGGCAATTTTCCAAGTACAAGCCCACGGGGGCTTATATTTGGAGAAGCGATTTAACGGAGGGTTTTTTGCGTTACGAGCTTGGGGGGTTATATATGGACGTGCTTATTTTCGGAATTTTACGGTATCTCACAAAGCAAACCTGTAAATCTGCTCACATTATCATATGCAGCTTTCGCGAGTGGGTGAGCTGAAGTAAATACTGTTTTCTGATTGACTACCTATCTTTCCCGTTGGGAATTTTGCCGCAGTGGTCCCGCAGCCGGGCAACGTATTTATTGACCTCGAGACTCAGTCCGTGAGAAAACAAACAAACAAACAAACAAACACCCTCGCCCAAATTTTGCGCAACCCTTTTTTCCTAAATTTTCATGCGTATTACAGTCGTCGCAAGAAAAATTGAAGACATTGCTTACGCTTACACAATTTTGTTTGGGGGAGGAGAGGGGCGGGGACAAACAAGTACAGTTGAACCCCACTATTTCGAAGTCCCAAGGGAAATGGAAAAAAGTTCGAAATAGCGGGGTTTCGAAATAACCGGGGAAGCGTAAAATTGGTAACAATGAATCATTTTTTAATAAAATATAGTACTGTATGAAGAAAGACACTGATTAAATAAAAATACAGTAATTATATGTTGGATAAATCAGCAGACGCTGTTGCATTGAGAAATCTTTGAATGTTCTGTTCGAGCTCAAATAAAGTGCAATACGTTTCCAGCTGTGCTCTTATGTACGTACTCTGTTTTTGACAAGTTCGAAACTAACTGGGGTTGATTTAAGGTGTAGGGAAAGAACGATGAGTTCGAAATAGCGGGGAATTCGAAATAACCGAGTTCGAAATAGCTGACAGTAAATGACTGAAAACATAAGGGTAAATCCAAGGGAATTCGATCTTCCTTCGAAATAGCAGGGACTTCGAATTAACCGAGTTCGAAATAGCGGGGTTCGACTGTATTATTAATGATACAAAGGCGCCCTGCGGGGGTGCGCTTCTCGGTACCATTAAAGACGCTTTCACTCCACGTGTTCTTTTTTAACGCTTTTCTTTTCCTTATGTGCCCATTTTGGTCTGGAGTCGGGTATGATTTTCGAGGGAATGAACCACGGGAGTGGATGAACGTATTTATGGTTTTAATTCCAAATGAGTAAGAACGAATTTGAAATGGATTTTAAGAAATCGTTTTTTTCAGAGGTGAGATCTGAAAACGGGTGTGAAAAATGACAGTTTTAGGTCTGATATAGGATTAGGATTTGGAGAACAGGGCGGCACACCCGCACCAAGAATTCCCAGGAGTACCTTCTGGGGGGGATCAGTGCTTTAAACTTTTTGTTCTACGAATCCTTCGTTGCAACGCACCCTTTCTAGTGTCTAGTGCCAGGCTTTTCAGGAAAAAAAAACAACCTCGACCCAGTGTCTTTTGGAAAGCGAGAAGACACTGGGGACGAGGGTGGGTAGAAAAAATGGGATGAGTTTATCTGTCTAGTGTGAATTCGAGACGAATAATCCGTCTTTGACAGATTATTCGTCTTCAAAATCCGTCTAAAAAGACGGATAAAGTCAGACGAATTATCCGTCCAAATTGAACAACGGCCGTTTTACACTTGAGATGGATTATTCGTTTGAGACAGATAATCTATCTTCAAAATCCCTCAAAATTGACGGAAAAACAGATGGATAAAGTCAGGCGGATTGTCCATGCAAAATTAAGACCGGTCCATTTTCAAATTACGACGTATTATCTATCTGACGCGAATTATCCAACGGATAATTCGTCTCAGACGGATAATCCGTCTCTAGTGTGAATACGTTTATCGTCTCGTTTTCACATCTAGACGGATAATCCGTCTCCAGTATGAAAACGGCAATTGTCATTCAACACAACACCGAACTAGTTCTACGCGTTAACACAAAACGGACAATTTCTCAACATTCATTTGCCACTAATCTCATACTGTACTTTGAGGTAAAAAGTACCTTTTAATACCGTAATTCCTTTTAACACGAAGATAAATTAGTGGCGTGTAGGATGTAGTAAGGTTAAGTAAGACTACTGAACTGAATTTCAGTCAAATTGAAATTAAGAATAAAGACCTTAAGATCGAGGTTTGGCCATCTTACTGCAAAGGGCAAACTATTTTAGCTCAGAAATAGTCTTCAAAAATACGTTCCTGTGAAAACGAATTGGATGATTAATAAGCGAAAGAGTTCCAAAAAGTAGTATTTCCTCTCAAACGCGGGATTGGGATGTCTTGGGGTGCAAAAATCCTTGCAGTAAATCACTTACCTCTAGAGCGTGCTCATGCTGTACAAATGTGAACCTCAAACCCAAATTCTGACGGCAGGGCACTGGTCACGTGAATTCTTGACGTTCGCGGTTAGCGGGAAATGCCGAAAAACTTCGATCTTAAGGTCTCTGATATAAAAGCGCAATGTCAGGCAATTTCTAGCTACAACCAAGAGATTAAAAAAAAAAAAGACATCAAGTATCGTCTTCAACTTCAGATAAGACGTGTATAGTCAAGACTGAAGAAGATGGAGTAAACTTGAAAAACATCGGCTCCACTCTTGGTTTAGTTTCGGGAGATAATTCGGCATGAAAGAGAATCAGAGGACAATATCAATTTTACGCTAAGTTCTCAAAGTAAATTTTAAAAGCACGTATAATGATAAACTTCTAGAAGGAGGGTGTGAAAAAATAGATACAGTAGCAAAGAGAAAAATTGTTACAATCTGTAAAGAAATGGAATCTCCTCATAGTCTTCAGAGGTACAGTTTTTCAGTCAGTAGATCGTTTACAAGGAAAGCCGTAAAATTAAATGACCACGAAGACCAAATTTAAAAGCATGGCACAATATAGCGAAGCATCTTCCATGGCGGGCTTTCCTCGTTTAAGAAATAATCGGTACCACAAAATCATATTTACAAGTTCTTTCAGGTTTTGACTGTAAATCCAGTGCGGCATGTTTAAAGTAGTGTCAACCTCCAGCATAACTATTTTAAGTTGCATTCTGTTCATCGGCGCGTTCGTTTACTGGTTCTTACATCTTCAGGGGAGATCGCAGCACCTCGCCTCGTTCGCGGAGAAGTTGTGTTTCCCGATGCGTTGCTCGAACCATTTACGACCGGAGTCGATAAGGTCGGAGAAGCGGTAGCCGCAGCCGCAGCTCGTGCGCTGGAGCGACGCGAGGTAGCTGTTCTTGTAGGTGGAGTGTTGATTTCTGTCAGCAGCATAGTGGCCGGACTGGGAGGCATATTGTACTGGGTCGGAGTCATGCCCAAACGCTCCTCAATCATGCGTAACTGGGTTTCAGCCTCTCTGCATTCCCGGTGTTTAATTTTCATCTCCTCCGTTTGTCCGTGCTGTAGCTGCAGCTGTTAGAGAAAGGAGATAGAGAAAGTGTTCCCTTCAAATGCTCCAAGATCAAATTCGTAAATCAGCTAACCGTTACCAACGATTTGTTTTGAAAATAAACTGGCGAGCTGATCTGAACAGAAAAGTAGTGAAAGCGGATTCAAATCTTTAAGTTATGGGGTCGCGCTCACCAATACGATAAGAAGGAAAGCGGCCTTAACCCTCTAAGCCCCAATTAATATACACATACAAATTCTCCAAAGTGATCTCCATACATTTCCTTTAAGAATAAGTTGAGAGAATTCAATAAATGATCAAGGCATTTTTCTTTGGCGATCATTTTATTAATTCTCATAACCTCATCTTATGACAATATACGGATATTGTTAGGAGAAAAATGACGTTGGTCACTTTTGGGACTTAAAGAGTTAAAACAAGACTCGACGCGATCGCGATTCAGGCAGAACTTCCCCTTCTCATCCGCTCTCAAGAAAAGAAGACTGACAGCAGGGTGGATTTGTGTACGAAAGAAAAAAAAAAAACCAATGCGATGCGCTTCTTTAAGCTTACCGAAAGTTCTTCCTTGGCTTGTGTGTGTTTGATAACGGCTTGTTTAAAAGCTTGTAGTTGTTCTGACAACATAATGAATAAAGAAAAACATTAGCAGCAATGTTGGAGTTATACATTGGCGGTGAAAAATGAGAAGAGCTTTATTTGTCACTCACCGATCTGCGTTGTCAGTGAATGGAATGTCAGCGGAAGAGGCGCAGCGAACACTGCGCCGCGCATTCTCTCAAGAGGAGGAGCTTTGTTCTGCAGTCCGCCGAATTTACCTTTGCAAGAGAGCAAAACTATGGAGATTAAAATTCTCACTAGAAGAAACAGTATCACGGGGATTGGTGCGACCCTTTAAACCCTAAAATTAATACAAACATTCTCCACAACGTTCTCCACGCATATCCTGCGTAATCAAGACCTTTTTCACTTGCTGATCATGTGCTTTTTCTCACGGTATTTATGTTTGACTGAACAGTGTAAGAATAGGGAGAAATCTTAAACACTAGTCACTTAAAGGTTAATGGGCTAAATAACTTACCGTTACTTCTGATGCGATCTCCTCCTCTGGTAAGAATCGTAGGACAATGAGTGTGCTTTACAACCTACATCATAACAATACACAAGAGCGCTTAAGCAAAGACGTTTCTGGACGTAGCACGTCAACCGGAAGTGAAACCTTTTCTCATTACCTTGACGCTAACAAATGTGCCTTGTTAAGCCCGTATTTATTCGAATAAGCGCCCAACCTCAAATTAGCGCCCACCTCGAATAAGCGCCCACCCCCACTCCACTCCCCGATGTCGGACATCGAGGAGGCAGCACCAGAGAATTCACTTATTGACTTGAGTGACAATGAGATTGAAATTGAAATTGAATAAGTACTAATAAGAGACTTCCCCGAAGACGAAGTTTTCTTCACAGCATTTTACAAAGACCTTACTTTGTTACATCTTCGCGTTTTGTTATTACCATTTATTGTTTGTTGCAAAATAAACATACTTGACTTGCTGAAAATGGTGAAAATTTAATAAGCGCCCAGGGCAGGTTAATCGAATAAATACGGTATCTTTACTCTTACTGAGACGAATTGCCAGAAATTTAATTTGGGAAAAAACTGTTGACCAATGATGCAAAACAGCCACTTCTGGTTGGTGCGTGTCGCTCTAAAACGTCCTTGGTTAAGTTCACTATAGTCAGGCGTAAATCAATAGTTTTCTTTATTGCATTGCAGTCGTCTGTTAGTGGCTTTATCTCAAGCCACAGCTATGTCTGTAATTTTGCAATTAGCTTAAAGGCTCGAAAAACCCGCCCCATCATCGTTCAAACGTTGGACAGCGCTATCTACTGGATAAATAAATCTCTGTCTAGCGAATAGGTATAAGGGAAATCAATTGAGTTATCCACTGGACGGTAGCCTGGAGCCTGGTGTGGATTCAACCCTCTCCGAGTCTCTCCCGTTTTGAATAAGGCATAACAATCCCGCCAGCTACACAGGCTAAATGTAAAAATGTCATGTCGTCACTAGTACATTGATGTTAAAGGAGCTGAGTCATGAATTACGTATCAAAATTCTAACAGTAGAAACCGCCACCAAATTGAGTGAAACAAAAATACCGTAACCGCTCAAAACATTTAAACAAAGCATTAATGGCACAGCAAATACAAAAAGAGGCAGGGGCGGACAAACTCAGCTGAGGAAGACTAAAACGGATTGCAATTACCGATTTTTGAAAACTTGTTAGCCTAACAGTTTCCAAAGTTCATTTTGCTCGTATTTAACGTTTCATATAATGCTTGAGAGACATTTATTTGACGAGAAGCTGTGATTTTGTCGTTTACAAGAAAATTTTTCCCCTTACGTTTAGTTTCATTGCGCACAAGGAAGCTTAATCGGCAATATTAACAACATGAAATAGCCAGCCGTGGCACAGCATTGCCGGCAATGTTGGAACAACGTTGCAACCATTTGAATCAATGTCACAACAATGTTGCAACGCTGTCTAGCGCTAAAAATCGTTGCTGCGAATCGTCCGATATAACATCACCCTTAAATGCATTAACAACAAGTGTACTCACCTGTTGTCTGTATTTATTTGCACAGTCCAGGTCATCTAGGATCAGTGTATCACCCAGTAACATACCGAACACTGCAATGAGACAAGCAATGAATCAAACCCGAGGAAAGTTTCAAAAAACATGCAGAAAATCCCGGGGGCGTACTCAACAAATTTTTACACGGGGAGGCTACGCCCCGAGGTCCAACCCCTTACCCTTTTATATACCATTTTTCACGAAAAAGGTACCCCTTTTTAACTGCTGCAAATGCATTGTCCTTTAAGTAGGAATCAATCACAAAAATAGAACGTTTTCCCGACTTTATAAAGCCATAACACTGAAATTCATCTGCTCAGCCCTTTGAGCCCTTTCACAGGCCCAAAGGACAGATTTCCCACCACTTTCATATAATTCAACTGGTAAAAATCCCAACCCTTCCATATACCTGAGGTCTGAAAAAGGTACCCCTTTCGGGCGGAGTCTCTCCGTATAGGCCATTATAGGGAGTACCCCCTAGGGCAGAAAACGAGAAGTGAGTTGAAAAATGAGGCATAGTGACGTCAAGGTTATTTGGATTCCAAATGAAAAACTCTTTCGAGTGTTTGATTTAGGTGTCGCAATTCATGGTATAGAATTTGTCTGTTTTCTCGATACATTTATTTGTTATTGAGTTTGAGGAAAATTTTTGACAGTCACGAAGAACTTTGTATACCCCGGACAGCAAAGACGTTTCTAGTGTAATTTCTGGTGAAAGTGACTCGCGGCTTCGGTCTGTTACCGACATCGAAGCACCCCGCCGCACGCGAGGAAAATAAAAAGACCTCTGATACCCAACAAGCATTGGTAGATGTTCACGGAGCATAAGAGTGGTAGTTCCTAAACCCATAACAATGTATCTTGACAAAGTTATTTCTACCTCTGAGCGTGGAATCACTGGAAATGTCAACAAACGGGAAGTGGATGTTGTGCATTAAGGGGGACTGTTTCCTGGGTTTAACGTATTTGTACCCTATACTAGCCAATGTTTAGCTGCCTATTTGGAGAAACTGTCGTCCGGCTAATTTAGGGGAGGGGGGAGCATGTAACTGATTCTTGCCGTTTACGCTCGCTTGTTGCAACTAATTACGGAGCTCCACCAATGGGTATCTCTGTGACAACGGGTAAGCGAAACGTTCACCTTCCTCAACAGAAAATTCATTTCTATTCAACGTCCCTCAGCACTGCTTTCTTTCAAGCAAATTACCTTGGCCTTAGAGAAGTTCTCCATTCAAGAACTTATCGAATGAGCCAATCTGCTTGCCACTCGCGCATGAGATTCCGCCGGCGCCTCTCGAGCGTTGGCCCAAACAGTTGTTTTTAAACTAGAGAACATAGAGCAGGCTAATGATTATCTAATGGTCTATTGTCGCACAGGCCCTACAATAAGTACTCTTGCATACACATTCGTATTACCTAGCTTGCAATTTTCCGCCTCTGTTGGAAACATCAACATATCTCTTGCGTATACAGGGTTACCAGACGGATTGTAACTGCCCTGACCTCGTATATGTGGAAGAGCTCTAAAATTAACAGTCAGTATTAATGGCTACTCATTGCTAAGCTACGCTACAGGCTTAAAACTCTGAGGCCACTGGAAAATTCTTGAGCGTGCTCACTAGCATATTCACAGGCCGCTGCTGACATGTCTGCAAGCATTGCTAACTTTTTCTAATGCACTGGGGGTTAATAGTCTAATTTTCACAAATTCAGGAAAGAAAAATCACGCATAGGGTCCTACCGAAACAGAGGGTTCTATATGAATTCGCCTACAGATTCAAAAGATAGATCACCATTATATGACATCACAACTGACTACGCGAATGAATGAGAGTGTAAGCCAGGTTAAACGTGCAGTTAATAGTATAGTACATTTTAATGTAGTAGAGTAACTCATAAAACCGGGCAGGAAATTTTATAAACTTGATCGGCTCTACTTGAGCACTCCCTGAATTTTCTTTGGGTTAAAAAAACCAACTTACCGTAAATCCTCAATTAAAGCCCCTTGGGGGGGCTTATTTATTTCAAGCCCATTTGAGGTGGGGGAGGGGTTAGAGAGAGGGGAGGGTTATCTAATTTAGAAGAAACGATGGTATCAGTTCACCATAAAGAACTAGAATACAAAGAGGAAAAGTTCCAGTACAAGACGTTGGAGTCATGCAGCCGAAAATCAATAACAATTCCGAACTTCTAGTTGGTAAATAAACCGTCCTGGATCAGTCCACACCATGTTTTACTGTCGTGACTGATTAATACAGTCTATCATTAAAATAATGAAGAATAATAAGCGGAGGGGAGGGGATGGAGGCTTAAAGAGAAGGGGGCTTATTAACTTTCTTTCTCTGAAAAGGAGAGGCCTATTAGTGAGAGGGGGCATATTTGAGAGGGGGGGGGGTCTTAATAGAGGATTTATGGTGTAAAATTGTTAAGCAGGTTTGGGTTTGAAAACTCCTGAGAGACACAGCGTCTATGATAACTGGGTTTAATTTGGTCTGTACCTATTCCATTCTGGTAAACTACGCCTGAAGATAGAATCCAAGGGTAGCACTTGTTGCTGGCCATTAGAGTCGCGATACACTTGTTTTGCCTGAAAATAAACAGTCACCCGTGTTATTCAAAAAGTGACAAAAAACTAGATAAATGTTACTGGTTATTTTAGAGAGCTACAAAAGGACTTGTGTGGAGGTCATGGAAGTGAGACAGTAATAATTATTACCAGGAAATAAGCAGCAGAGGAATTTACAGTTTTGTGCCAAAATATTAGTCGCTGACTTTGCCCGTTGATGTAAAACATTCGCTCATGAAATCAGTGTGCTTTCGACCAGTAAGGCAAATACTTAAGTTACGGTTCATTCCTGAGGTAACACGGAAGCCTTTAACTCGATTGATTTTATTAATACCGGAGGAAAAGAAAAAGAATTCGACAGTTTAAACAGGCAAGATTGTCCGTTTGTCAGGAACTTGAACATTCAATCGAGCGCTGTGCGGATATACTACGTCATATAGGAAGACCTCTAAGATAGTCATGACCAAGTGTGTTTGCGGGTGATCTTACATTCGACACAAATTGAATTTGCCGCTACACAAAGAATACTACAAAATTGAATTTTTTCGCTACACAAACAATAGTATAGCTACCTCGCAAACGCTTGTCAGCAATAAAAAATACACCCTACAGAGCACAAAACGACAGGTCCAGTAGAATAGGATAGAGCGGAACAGCATAACTTACGTACATACTAGCTACCCAAAAGGGGAGAGAATTTATTATGAGCGAAAAGCACAGCAGGCAAAACACGAGGTTTAGGGAACGAACTAGACTTGCTAGAAGTCGACAGCACGAGTGTCTTAGCAAGCGACCAAGCGTACGACGAAGTCGCGAAAGGTCGACCTTCGTCCCGCGCCATATTAAATCGGAAAAAGGACTTTTTTGAAAGTCTACGGACGAACCTTTTCTGTCGTGAGAGTAACGACACAGTCCATATCGGATGCCATGTGCCACGACAGTACTCGCGCAACGTCGTCATCTACCACTTGAGCTAAATGAGCTACCTGCAGGGAGAACAGAGAAAAGCGTTAGCGCTAACACGCAACAAAAGTATACCGACGAGGTAGAGCCAAGTGTCTTCATTACCGAGGTCAGGGCTGTCACTAAGATTTGAAGTTGCATAATTACGTCAGTCGAGCAAATTTCACCAAACCTCGTTTGTAAACAAAACTGTTTGCATTTGCACCCTTTGGGCGTGAATATTCTTTTCAACTTTTCTGCCCTGGGAATTCATTTATGCACAACTTGGCAACTTTTCAACTTCAAAACGAGGCTGGGTGGTGAAATATACTCGTCTGACGTAAACATGCATAACGGTTATTATAAATCACTCTTTGCTATGGCTTTAGAAAAAGGGCAAAAAATTGTCAGACTAAAGCATAGTGTGAACTCATTGAAAAGTAAACTAAACAAACCTTTCCCAGAATACCAGAGTCTCCACGGGGTCCAGGGTGAAGTAGACACTGTCGGCGAGGAGTAATAGCGATCTGATCTCTCTTTTTTGACATTTCATCTATCAATGTAGTCACAGCTGATGGCTAAGAACAAACAAGCAGTAGAGAGCTTAGATTCTGAAACTTTATGTTAAATCTCATACACATACTCGTTCTCCTCCTCAAATCTAAAGCTCTCTAGTGATTAACTCTTTCACTCCCAGAGCTATAGTGTGACCATTCAAATGAAACGGATATTTAACAATACTATTCTATGGTGCGAATTGATTTTTACAAAATGAGACCTTCCGGTAATATGCAAAACGTACGCACGGTAACAAAATGAGGCATCATCCACAACTTTCTAGCACTTCGTCTAAATAAGAAAACGAAAGTAAACGTAAAAGCTTCAGAGGCACCAACAGGCATGGCCAAGGAGTTGAATTCAGATCCAACTTAAATCAAAACCAGCCAGTGCCGTGTGGCTACATATGCACCTCATTTTTTTCCCTAACAGAAGTTCCGACGACAAGAACATAATTTCTTTTATAACTGGGAAGCGTTGTCGTGTGAACGACGGACAAAGAGAAATGGCAGAAACCTCGCTTCCGCTCTTCCCCTTCCCAGCATTCACTACGTGCGTTTACCCCTTCTAGTCTCCGCTAAGCCTCTGTGAAAAAGAGGGGACCTCTGGTTAAACCGAAACCAGCGACCTCTGGACTTGAGCTTGGTATACTCTAACTACTCCATTAGGGTGGCTCGATCCTGTATCAGGATTACTCCTTACCGATGCTAAGCTGCTTGCAGGGATGTTCTGTTTTCTGAGTTCCCCTCTCAGCTTCTGTTCTTGTAAAGAAGCTTCATGCACTGACACTGCAGTGGACAAAAATAAAGGTTATGGCTCAATTATAAAATTGGTTGTTCAAATCTTAAACCCTAACATGCATGAAAATAAGCTTACAATAAACTAAATAAAAACTGTTGTAACCATTACAGCATTATAATATCAATAATATCCACGAACTTGGAACTCAGATAATAAAAATAATAATTCCGTTATTTTCGCTCGGCAGTATTTATAGCACTAATGCTAGTGGGGCCGAGCAAATGCCTGAAACAAATAATTCAAACTGAACTTAACAGGGTTAAGAATCCCAACTGGCCGGAGGCAAACCAGCTGACTATTTACAAGCGTGGCCGAGGATTTCAACTCGAGACTACCGTGAACAAATCCAGCTAGCGGTTGGAGCGGGACTCGAACTCGGAGCCTCCCCAGCGCTCTAACCGCTCGGCCACGCTGCCTAAAAATCGACTAGTTACATACTTCACTGAGGTCACTGCTCCTGTCAGAAAATCATCGCCACAAGGCAATGGAATAAGTAAATAAATACATAAATATACCTTAACATGGCTGGGGAAGAGAATGGCCACAGAGTTTATTTGCCTTCTAGTAATGGCTCACTTCTTAGGGTCTGACGACGGGCTAGCACTTAATGCGTCAGCTTTTGAGTCTTTTTATGGAGGATTTATATTCACATAGGAATTCTCCAGACTGATCTCCATACATTTCCTTACAGAATTAGTTGAGAGAATTTGATAAAAGATCAAAGCATTTCCGTTTGGTGATCATTTTATTATTTCTCATAACCTTTTCTCTTGACGATGCAGTGATATTGTTAGGAGAAAATTGATGTTAGTCACTCTTGGGACCAGATTTTTGTGTCGACTGCTAAGAACCAAAAATATGCCACCAACCTTGCATCTCGTTAATGAGTTGTCGCGTAGTTTCAAAAAGGAGCCGGTAGGTGCGTATCGTCTCAAATAAGTGATCTCTCTCTTTTGTCAGCTGAGCCATCTGTTGCTGTTTCCTTACATCTAAAACCAAAAAAGTAAGGTACTGTTTATGTGATATGTTGTGTTAGTTAAAACACTGCCTAAAAGTAAAGGTTAAACGTTAACCAATGAGAGGAAATTAAGCACTTCGTTATAAAACAACCGTAGTGCACTTGCCAGTCTAAAACAAAAGGTTCAACAAAGAACAAGAATTTTATTTTTTAAGTTAATCAAAAGGTTCAACAAAGAACAAGAATTTTATTTTTTAAGTTAATCATGAAGAGGAAATTTAGCAGTTCTGTGTACTTGCCAAAAAAAGGTCGCAGAAAGAACGAGCACCTGTTAATTTGTGCTAATATTTATAAGGGAGAGGAAAATTAGCACTACAGAAAACCGCGGTGTATTTGCTATTTCAAAACAAAGAAGGTCACACAACAAACAAGCAAACTATCGGATATCCTTTAAGTTAATCACGAAGAAGAAAGTCAGCACTACATGAAACTGAAGAGTACTTGCCATTGTAAAACAAGAATGCCAACGTAAACACGGGAATAGGATGAGGCGAAGAATTAGGAGGAATCTGAGTATGGAAGTTCAGCAGGTATTCCTGTCCGTCTTTGCCTGCAGTGTTCTCTTGAATGAGGAGGTTCTGTACAGTGGCCACGCCCTTGACCAGGGGTACCTCCAAGGAGTACACATTTCCAGTCAGAGCAGGGATCTCGTCAATGCCTTCTGATGGTGTCGTTACCTTGACAACCACCTTTCCTTTCAGATTCTCACCAGTCAGGTTATCGAATTTGTCCTGAAACAAACGGCAAATAGAGTAAAAATTGGTTTCAAGGCTGCCTAAAGCCAGTTTGCTGATCAACAAATGTTTGAGCTGTTGTTCAACAAATGTGTACCAAGCCATGTTGAATATTGAAATGGACCTTTGAACATGCAGAGGGTTTTTTAACGTTGTTGCGAGATCAGCAACTAACGAGAGCTGCAACATTAGTTGGTTTCAGATCAGAAAAGAGAAAAACGACCAACGTTCGTTATGTTAAATCCAAAACATAAATGAATATAAAAATATATAATAAATACACAAACAAACCAACAAAAAACATATAACACAACGCCAGAGTACTGCCGAAATCAAACAATCAACCAAATCAATCAATAACGTTATCAACGAAACGTTACTAATTACTTACTTGAGTGCAGAGGGCACAGAAAACATAAAACTTAGCGACAGAACGACTATCAATGAGAGAATTTTTCAGATCTTTTTTTAAAACCAAAAACAAATATGGAAGAAGAGCTGGTTAGGGGAATTGGCAACGAATTCCAGATTGTTGGTCATCGATAAAGGATACTGAACTGGTTAATATTAGTTCTACAAAAATGAGGTCTATACTAAGAGGCTAGTCGAGTTTCATTATGGTGAACCCGATTACTACTTAAAAAGAGGTTGCGAAAGCTACTAGACAGAAGATTATGGTGATATGAATACTTGATTTCAATTCTGTCAGGTCTTTGATCACACCATCACTTCTATTGTTAACACTGGTCGACATGGATTCAAATAAATTACGAGACATCGACTCTTGCACTTTCATCATGCCGTAAACGCACTTCTTGGTGACATAATCGTCATCACCTTCGTGATACGTTTCATTGACGCCGTCAGTGGACTCATCTTTTTGTTGTTCATTTTTTTTTCTTTTCTTTTGCTCATTTTCAGCGATTTGCTACTCATCTTCAAAGTGGCAGTGCTGCTAAAAGTGAGACTAGTTAATTACGGACGAAATCGTTGCAGGCAACCAACTCTGCAACTCTTTTCCCAAAGTTTACACAAACCAGTTTCTCTACAGAGTTAATGCTCACCAACGCTGGCCTATAATTATACGCATGACGTCGCAAAGAAATGGTAACTGAAGATGTGGGGTCATTTTTTCATTACAATGAGGAGAGAACACAACCAAAAACAGTAAATATTAGTACCTTAAGTTGTAACTTGAGTGTCTTCACCAGGGTTCGGCTGTTGGTCCTTTGAGTGTTGGAAACAGTAGGAGTCGCAGGCATCGTCTCCGGTTCAAGCTTCACAGGGAGACCAGCCTTTGCTGTGAATGTGATCTGCAAGAGACAGCAAGTGAAACTCTGTGTTAACGACCATAGTTGGCTCTTACTATCATTAAGAATTGGGAAGGTATTTAGCTGTCGTGGCCAACGAACTCTCCGAAACTGGATGGTATGTATTACTACACACAACTCTCCTACTTGTGGAAAAATGAAATATACCACCAAGCAGACGTGCTTATTTGGAGGAGAACAGGTTTAAGGTGCAATGGAAAAGAAAAAGACAAAAAAAGGGGGGGGGGGGTTATTTGATGTGTTCTGCTTAAGATAGTTCTTCCTTACGTTGTAGACAACAAAAAGACATTTACAAATAAAAGTACAATTTCTCTTCAAAGTGTGTGCTTATTACCAAAGTAATAAAGAACAAGGAGTACTTGGAAATAGATGGCATTGTCCCTCAGATAACAAAAAAATCGATTGGCTTTTAAATGGTACTTCTACTGCTGATTTTCAAATTATCATTAGGTTGTTTCAGCTTGTCCAGTCGTTTGTTTCGCTATTAAATCGCTTCTGTTAGTTGCTGCCTGTGTGTTTGTGTTTCTACATTCAATTTTGTTTTTCTTTTTATTCTTTCACTTTTTTGTGAGTGTTCAATTGTGACGTGTATTTGTGTTTTTGAAATCTTCAATGTAAACAGCGCAAGCTCTCTAGATGAGCCCTTTAGGCTCTTAGAGCAAATGTTGTAATAAATAGTGTTTATAAATTGAATAAGGGTTTGTGCAAGAAGTAACTAGTAATGAAGACTCCACGTTAAAAAAACAATGCTCTCACCGGTTTACTAGAGAGTGTGGCTGCTCCTGCAGATCCAAACTGTACTACCATACAATAGCCACCTGACATATCTGGTACTTTGAGGTCCCTAGTGAGTGCAGTTTACAATATATGGTTATGAGCGAATGTATAAAAAAATTTGCATTGCTTGCTTTGAAAACTACTCAATCAACCATACTTCGGTTGATATTATTGCTGTCGCTGCCAACTCAAGATATAATCTTAGGTCCAGAAATGCGACTTTGTTGGTACCAGCCAACGCACGCTGCCTACCTACTGACTTGGTGACCGAGCCTTTCAGTCGGCAGCTCCCAAACTGTGTGAACTGTGCGAACAGCCTTCCGGCGGAGACAAGAAACATTCAGAGCCTTACATCTTTTAAGACAGCTCTCAAAACCTACTTTTTAAAGATAGCTTTTAATTAACTTTTTTTTTAAGGTAGCTTATAATGGACTTACTTTTTTAAGATAGCTTTTAACTGACTTATTTTTATCTCATCGTTTGTAATGCGCACATGAAAATACTTCCATTGTATAGAGTGTTTTCACTCACGTGGCCTGCATCTACGCAAATTTATTGAAACAAAAGAAAGCGTTTGCATAAGAAAAGAGTTCAACTCCCAGAGGATTGGTTTGGGACACCAATATGGCCGCCGTGACGTCATGTGAAAACACTCTATATGCACAATATACATATTATATTATTATATATTATCATATTTATTCGTATTCTTATCATTATTACCTGAAATAGAATTCTCCTTCTTTATCCGTTAACTTCCGCTTTGATGGGTACAACGTTGTGGCCTTAACAAAATTAAAATATAAGTAAAACGTTAAGCCTTGGTGGTTTCAATTAACAGCGGCATTGTGCTACACCGTTGTGACCTCAGTACGATAACAGTTTAAGTTATAAACAATAGGCCAGTCATTTTACCACTTCTGAATAGTAACCAAGCCCTTCTGCTGTGAATATGCTGTCACTAAGAAGAAAGGGCAGGGGATTTCCTCCGGATACCATGAACATTAGCCCCGGCAGTGGTGGATTCAGGGGAGGGACCCGGGGGCCCGACCCCCCCTCCATTATTTTTTGGACCAAACTGAGGCCAGAAGGGCCGAAAAAATTTTTTTGGGAGACCACCCCCCCCTCTTATCTAAGGGTCTGGATGATCTCAAGGTCTGAATCAGGCACTGCCCGTCTACTTTCATAGGAAACAAAAGGAAACTAGGACATAACGATTTCCTTGAAGTTCAATTTCCCGCCTACTGATTGCATATAACGTCAACTTGAAATCTTGGTGACAGCAACGGACAATGGCTCTCGGCTAGTTAGTGCCTAAGAATATTGACACTTACAGTGTATGTATTGTGAAACCCAGTTACTATGTGATGTGAAAGAAAACAGGCTAGTATAACATACCCTGGCTGGCGGCTTGTCTGATATACTGGACCGTCCTTAGAGTGCCATATCTTCAACACTATGTCCTTAGCACTTGCTGCTTTCATTACAGCCTCGTCCTCTCCAACGACATGGGCTGAAACAGCTGAAACGTAGGACAGTAGGATTGTTTGGGGGACAAAACATCCTCCAACCTGCAGCTCTTATGCCAGCACCCACCCAAGGAATTAGTCAATCAAATTTTCTGATAAAGGTGTTCAATGTATATATCAATGGCCTAACGTGGCCTAACTGCTTTAAAGTTGAATTTGTATGGTTAGAACTCAGATTCAGGTTAAAGTAAAATCCTATAGATCTCCAAACTCCTGGAATTTAGTCACACAATGCTGAGCGCAATGCTTAGAAAGACATAGCCAAGTGTATTCAAGCCTCGATATCCACCTACAAATTCTCCACACTGATCTCCATACATTTCCCTTAAGACCTAGTTGAGAGAATTGCCACCCTGTAGGTCTGGAATCCCAGAGGGTGCTAATCGAAAAACAAGTCCTTGCATATCACCTTCCGTTTTGGATGAGAATTCCCTATACATAGCTAATATCAGTCATATGCTGCTGAAAGTGGAGAAAAAATCACAGCGTTTTCCCTTAGTTGATCATTTTATCGTTTCTCATAACCCTTTGTCTTGATTATGTGTTGATATTGTCAGGAGAAAATGGATCTTGATCACTCTTGGGGATTAAATGGTTAAAATGCAGAGTCACTAGACAAAGTATCTGACCTGCAATGTGGTCTTAACCCGTCAGTAGCCCCGTCCGGCTTTTCTCGCGTAGGGTGATTTTCACGCGCGCTCGCGTTTCGCTCGCTCTACTATCCCTGAGGAAAAATGGGGACTACTCGTAGTCTAGACTCGATTATCAGTCGCTGTTCGGTAACTAGGGAGCTTAAGCAACGACGACGGCAACGATGGAGAAACCGCCACCCAAAAAGTGAATTCGCGCTGTTTCAAACTTCATTGCTATTATCCCAACTCTTTTGATTTGTCAAATGACGGCTACTTTTTCAGGAGTTGAATTCTAAAGGGCTGTATCTGAGTTCATGAAAGAAAAAAGAAAATCTTCTGTTCACGTAAAATTAGGAAGTTTCACGTCGTAGTCGTGCAACGACGGCAAAGAAATGTACAAAAAAAACGTGATATAAGCGCAAGGTTGTTGTTTTACCAATCTAAACCTATCGTTTTCAGCCGTTCTCGTTGACGTCGCCGTCGTCGTTGCTTAAGCTCCCTAATGAGCTTGCGACCTCGACCGGACCCGTGATAGCGGCAGAAATCCAGCCTATGGAAAGCCCAAGTTTTGACGGCAAAACTGGAAACCCGTTGCTTGCTTGGGATACACTTGCCCGCGCAACAGTCCTACTAGACTACTGGCAATCTAATGGTCTCACTTACTTGGTAACAACTCTCCAACGACACACGGTGCATTAGAATCAAACGTGACGTTAAGATTTACAGCCTTTGATGGGTCAGGCTCCACTCTGAAATGCAAAACATATAACAACAACGACGACTTTATTACAACTGTATTATTATAACTACCCGGAAATAGCTACAGCTAGTCGAGGCGGGTAGGTACCACAGGAAATTACAGTATCAAAAGCATAAAAATGAGAACAGCGATCGCAGGTAAATTAAACCCGTCCGACTTCTTCGAACGCTCGCACTAACTTATGTAACATATTCATTCCCAAGCGATGTACTAGCTATCTCCAAAACGGCAAAAGTGAATTCAATAACCGATTTGATCTCTACCGTTTCCTTTTGCTTTAAATGCGACGTTCAACATCTCTATTTGATACAAAATATTGAATATTTTGGCGAACGAACAACAATTTTCCATTGACCCTACTCTTACAGACCACAGAGATAACGTGAAAATCTTTAATACGCTGCAGTCAAACAACTGGAGTGCAGTTCGCAGTACCACTAAAGCTTTACACGTGTTGACGCCATTTCGGAGGTCTAAACTCTCATAAATCAGAGCTCTCGACCAAATTACTGAGTTGTTGTGAAATGTGTGTTAACCTGCTTCACAGAACTTACCTCACGCTTATGGTAGGCGCATCCAATGCAGTTCTTCCAAGCAGGGCTTTGATTCTTATTCCATACATTCCCCTGATTTTTAAACACACGTTACTCCAAGTTATTTTACAGACTTAAATTATGACTGAAGAAGAGGATGTTCCTAAGAAATGCCAAGGTTGGGGCTCTTAAAGTCGACGGGTATTTTTTTGATCGGCACCAAGTGTGTGCCGGCATTTAGTGCCCTTTTTAGGGAGGAGTTCGTCTTAAAGAGAGTCAAAGAAAATGAATGAAGAATGGTAGCAACCGACTCTAGGTGTCCATTTTAAGGAGGTGTCCGTCTTATACAGAATCAAAGAAAACGACTAAAGAATTGCAGAGACCAACTCTAGATGTCCGTTTTAGGGAGGTGTCCGTCTACAGAATCAAAGAAAATGAATAAAGAACGACAGGGGCAAACTCTAAGTGTTTTAGGGAGGTGTTCATCTTATAGAGAGTCAAAGAAAACGACTAAAGAATGGCAGGGACCAACTCTAGGTTTCTGTTTTAGGAAGGTCTCTATCTTACAGGAAGTCAAACAAAATGACTAAGGAAAGCCAGGGACCACCTCTAGGTGTCCCACTAACAGAGGCGTCCGTTAAGAGGGAATTAAAACTACTGAGTAGCAGAACTAAGAAAAGGTGTACAAAGTAAAGAAAGCTTTTGTTTGACTCAGTAACGTTCGTTAAGGGCTGAGGTAAGAGCTATCAAGTAAGAGGCAGGAACAAGGGCACAAGAAGACTTATGTTCAAATTCCACCTACTTGGTTGCGCTCACAGTAGGTTGACCAAACGTTGCTTGACCCTTGCTGTCTGTCTTCTGCTGAGCAGGTGCTGGAGTCAACTGAAAAAAATAAAATTATAAAAATGCCCACAATTAGATTCTTACCAAGAAAAACATCATTTTGCACAGATCTTTATAAATTTGTATAGTCAGGTGCTCAACGTACCATCGATAGAACGATAAAAAAATGCGGCAGCAAAAACAGTTCATTAGACCAGATTACATAATACAGTCGAACCTCTCCACAAGGGCCACCCTGGGGACAGAAGAAAGGGGCCGTTACGGTGTGGTAGGGAGTACAACATGTTTATTGCGCTACTAAGTTCATTCTTATTGTATTCCATAATGGTAATCCAATCATATATAATACATAGAGATAAAATACACAAAAATCTTGAATATTGATTTGAATTAGAATGTTAACGTCACAAAACAAGCAGGGCTCGCAACATTCGCTACAAGTACCGTAGACATTTTATGCTTACTGCAGCAGTATAAATGGATCACAATCAAAATACGATTGCCGCGATTAATCACCAACTGGTCATACGTATCAAACTTTATGACCATTCTTGACTTTTTCATCGGCTGCTGAAAAAACTGGCCGTTGTCGAGAGGTAATAGGGACCTTTAGCATCAGGTCTTTCGTGGGAAACGGCAAACGGTAAACCGCAAAATGTCACGTGACCACGGCCTTGCGGGCACGTTTGCAGTTTGCAGTTCACGTTTGAACCGAAGGAAGGGCTTTCAGCGGTAAGTGATTTACGGCAAG